TATTCATACATGAATTTTGTGGTGTATTCATACATGAATTCATTCATGAATTTCGGGTTGAAATCATACTAGTCAGAAAAAGTGTAATCTATACTAGAAATCATACTAATCAGAAAAATCCCATCCCCTAGTATACCAACTGGAATGAATGTCAAATTCGTGGACTAGTATGACAAGTGGTAGGATCTTGACGTGCATACTGACTAGTATGTTCTGGCGCATAGACTGAGTAGTATGTCAACTGCTATGATTCTGATGTATATAATGACTAGTATGCCAACAGGTACGATCATGACGTATATACGAACTAGTATCTTAAATGGTATGATATTGATGTATATATTGACTAGTATGTCAACTGATATATTGCTGATGCAGAGGCTGACTAGTATGCCAACTGGTATAGTGCTGATGCAGAAGAGGACAATTGCCATCTCGTAGGACATCGCCGTGTTAAAAATACCAGTTGCTTATATGGAAAAATTACAGAACTCGAACTAGTTGAGGCCGTGTGGCTGACTAGTATTTGATTAGTATAAAACTAATTGAGTTGACTGAAGGGTACTTATTACTTTTAAGTTTCTTCAGCATCGACTAAATACTCTTCCGGCTCGTCCATTGTATAAACTGCATTTTTGTTTGGGATAGCACTCCTTTTAAAAACTACTTCAGGATCTGATGATATTATTAAGTATGACATCAAGTCTCTGTTTGTATGCTCCCGAGCAGTTTTACGTGTGTGATCATATCGTACGATACGTATGTGTTTATGTAAAGCTTCCAGAGCTTCCTCTGAAAAATTGCCTGTGGGAATAAATTCGTAGTAGTAAAAAATGCCGAATAGCAACAAATCGATTTTCTTACCAATTGGTAGATCGAAATACTCAATAACCTCACACCCATGCATCAATATTTTATGCACGCTGCTAGGCATGTAGTACCATTCGTATTCAGTCAAATACATTGTTCTTGTCCTTATAAGGAGCTCTCTAAACGCGTCGATATTAATACGCATTCCACACGATATTAATCGCAGTATTATTGAAAAATTTTGAATTAGCTCTTTATTAATGCCCGTAATTTCTGATGCCACTTCTGCATTTGAAAAAAATTTGCGAGCTGTGTTGCCATCATTAGTTGTTCCAAATCCAGTCTTTACTTGGTCCACTATTAAGCCTAATCTTGTCCTAAACTCATTTTGAATCCTAACTTTATTCGCAGAAAAGGCGTCTTTGTTTTCTTTGCGAACTTGCCAGCATTTAAATGTTAAACGGTATGCGATGTGGAATAAACGCTCAAAACATCTAATCCAAGCATGCAGTGTAGACAACTCATACTTGTAATGATTAGCGATTGGTACTTTTGTAAAATTAGTAACATTCATTTCGGTCGGTTTGGCATGGCAAATAAAACAGTTACTGGAAGCATTAGTGCCAGTCAAAATATTGGCAACAGATCAATCAATCATGGTGCAATGCATTTGATAAGAAACTTGAATCCCTTTTCCGTTTCGTATTACAACATCATCTTCTAAGTTCTCAATTTTTCTCGACATATCATTATATTCGAATAGAACTAGTTCGCGGTTTTCCTTCTTGAAACTAAACTTAATTGGACGACAATAAAAAGACGATTAGCATTTGTTATTGGTCCATATATTTTTGTTGGATGACAAATCAATTAACCTGGAAAAAATATTTATTTTTTAATAACTTATATGGCTTGTCGAAAAGATATAAGACCGTCATATCGCAAAATAGCTAATCGAGTAAATTAATTAATTCAGACCAGCCTTTTGCAAAATAATACTGTAAAAAGTTGTCAATGTAAATTAAAATGTCATTTACTGATCTAAACTCGAATTTATTTTTAAAGGCTATTGAATGTTTTTGGAAGATATATTAGATAATTTTTTGTTACCTCAGAGGGACTAGCGCAATGATGAACATAAACTCATCCGTTAATTTGTCGTCACCAAAATTTTGCTTATAGCGGCTATGCCCCGAACTTCCATCCATGCCCCACTTACAAACCAAAGAAGCTTTGGTTATGTCACCATTATCTGGGCTTAGTTCTAAAATACTTTGCGTTGTTTTCAGCAATAATGATTTCAGATCAACTTCGGCTGAATATTCAGTCGATTTAATCGTTGGCAGCAAAGTTTGTTTTTTTGTTTGCAATGCGTTTAAGCTCGGTATACAATCTTTATGCAACCGGTTTATTTTTGCACGTAAACTATTATATTTACGATCTGATAAGTTCAGATCTATGTATAGTGCGAGTGAATCAGATATGGGCAAACCTTCGGTACTACTTTCAAAACATTCAACTTTGCTTGCTTTTTTCATTTTTTTCAGAGCATACTCGAGCTCTTCGATGGAATAGTTTTTCAACAAATGCTCTACCCTTCGATTTTTTGTCCTCCGTGAAGCTTCGCAAAATTCTTCTTTAGAAGGTTTTCCCCGTTCAGCACATTTATCCTTATTTCCATTGGAATCCGGAAGGGAAAGGAATGTCCAATTTAGCCATTTAGAATATGTTTTTTCAAAAGCGCTTCTTTTGCGGCCACTATAATTCCACTTATTTTTCATCTCACTATTAAAAAGTTTTATTTTTTGATTCAAAAGTGCTTTGTCGCATTTAGCGTGTATTAATTTGTCTTCAAAAAATGCAGATAATGCAGACACTCTATCTGATGGACGATTAGAAATCCAGATATCAGCTAAAATTTAGTTTTTTATAATTGAATTCATATTAATATTAGTTTTTTCACTATTTTACGCTTCACTACACAGCACAGAACACTACCGCGTGTGTCTACAGTAATAAACTTTACTATTTTTAAAGAATGTTTTGGCATTTAAGTAATGGAAAATACTGTGGTAACTGTAATCAGTGAAATTTTTTTTGCAAAAGTTTATTTTATAACCTTAAAAAAAAACGATTTTCTTCGAAAAGCGCAATGAGTCTGCAGACTTTTTTTTTATTTCAAAGAAAAATGCCCCTTCTTTCAAATAAAAGAATAAAAAAAAACATACTTTTACATATTTTTTTTTATCCCTTTGTAAACTTAGGAATTTTTTAAATTTTCTGCAACAAATTTTAGGGTGTAGCAAATAGGCCATTCCAGCCAGGAAACTCAATATTTTTTAAAAAGCTCTATAGAGTGGTTTCCTTACAGATTTTCTAATTAGAAAAATTGTGTCTTAAGATAAAGTATGATAAATTGTATTTTTAGCAATTTTTTTTTAAAGACTCCAGCTAAAGGCATTTTCATAAAAGAAAAAATATATAAAAAACACACAACTTTAAGAGGTTTTTGTGAGAACCTTATGAGATAAAAACAAAAACTAAGTCCAGATCCTTAATCTAGGATAAATTTCCTTTCCAACGATACCAAACACGTTGACATACGTGACAACAATTTTTTTGATTTTTGCCCGCTCATACAGCACTGTGCGACGCGTCCGTTAAACAAATGAGAATCGCGTATATCAGTGTCACTGCCCACGGAAAAGGAGCGATGGCATTGGTGGCTGCGTTAAAAAAATGCAGTTTCTTTGCTACAAACCCTCTGCTTCAAATTCCTTAGAATGTAAGATTTTTTCAAGCCACTCAGCATATCGAGCCCTAACCGCCAAAATAACGTAAGCGACATTTATTTCAAAATTTTCTTTTTGATGCAGAAATGTATCTAGATGCTCTAGGAATATT